AGCGGGGGGAGATGTTGATCCTGGTGATGTGTTAAAGGTGGGAGCGTGGGAGGGGTTTTGATCCTGGTGATGTGTTTACAGGTGGTGGAGCATGGGAGATGTTGATCCTGGTGATGTGTTACAGGTGGTGGAGCGTGGGAGAGGTTGATCCTGGTCACATGATTACATTAGTAATGAGAGAATCAGTTATCTTGGACTCATCAGTGCACTGAGCACCATCATCAATGCACTGAGCACCATCATCAATGCACTGAGCACCATCATCAATGCACTGAGCACCATCATTAATGCACTGAGCTCCATCATCAATGTACTGAGCACCATCAATGCACTGAGCACCATCATTAATGCACTGAGCACCATCATCAATGCACTGAGCACCATCATCAGTGCACTGAGCACCATCAGCGCACTGAGCACCATCATCAATGCACTGAGCACCATCATCAGTGCACTGAGCACCATCGTCAATGCATTGAGCACTATCATCAGTGCACTGAGCACCATCATCAATGCACTGAGCACCATCATAAGTGCACTGAGCACCATCATCAGTGCACTGAGTCACTCATCAATATGCACTGAGCACATTATCAATGCACTGAGCACCATCATTAATGCACTGAGCACCATCATCAATGCACTGAGCACCATCATCAGTGCACTGAGCACCATCAGCGCACTGAGCACCATCATCAGTGCACTGAGCACCATCATCAATGCACTGAGCACCATCATCAGTGCACTGAGCACCATCAGTGCACTGAGCACCATCATCAATGCACTGAGCACCATCATCAGTGCACTGAGCACCATCATCAATGCACTGAGCACCATAAGTGCACTGAGCACCATCGTAAGTGCACTGAGCGCCATCATCAGTGCACTGAGCACCATCATCAATGCACTGAGCACCATCAATGCACTGAGCACCATCATCAATGCACTGAGCACCGTCATCAATGCACTGAGCACCATCAATGCACTGAGCACCATCAGTGCACTGAGCACCGTCATCAATGCACTGAGCACCATCATCAATGCAGTGAGCACCATCATCAATGCAGTGAGCACCATCAGTGCACTGCGCACCATCATCAGTGCACTGAGCACCATCATCAGTGCACTGAGCACCGTCATCAGTGCATTGAGCACCATCAGTGCACTGAGCACCATCATCAGCGCACTGAGCACCATCAATGCACTGAGCACCATCATCAATGCACTGAGCACCATCATCAGTGCACTGAGCACCATCATCAGTGCACTGAGCACCATCATCAATGCACTGAGCACCATCATCAGTGCACTGAGCACCATCATCAGTGCACTGAGCACCATTGTCAATGCACTGAGCACTATCATCAGTGCACTGAGCACCATCATCAATGCACTGAGCACCATCATAAGTGCACTGAGCACCATCATCAGTGCACTGAGCACCATCATCAATGCACTGAGCACCATTATCAATGCACTGAGCACCATCATTAATGCACTGAGCACCATCAATGCACTGAGCACCGTCATCAGTGCATTGAGCACCATCAGTGCACTGAGCACCATCATCAGCGCACTGAGCACCATCAGTGCACTGAGCATCAATGCACTGAGCACCATCATCAGTGCACTGAGCACCGTCATCAATGCACTGAGCACCATCATTAATGCACTGAGCACCGTCATCAGTGCATTGAGCACCATCAGTGCACTGAGCACCATCATCAGCGCACTGAGCACCATCAGTGCACTGAGCATCAATGCACTGAGCACCATCATCAGTGCACTGAGCACCGTCATCAATGCACTGAGCACCATCATCAGTACACTGAGCACCGTCATCAATGCACTGAGTATCATCATCAGTGCACTGAGCACCATCATCAATGCACTGAGCACCATCATAAGTGCACTGAGCACCATCATAAGTACACTGAGCATCATCAGTGCATTGAGCACCATCATCAATGCACTGAGCACCATCATCAATGCACTGAGCATCAATGCACTGAGCACCATCAATGCATTGAGCACCATCATCAATGCACTGAGCACCATCATCAATGCACTGAGCACCATCATCAGTGCACTGAGCACCATCATCAATGCACTGAGCACCATCAGTGCACTGAGCACCGTCATCAATGCACTGAGCACCATCATCAGTGCACTGAGCACCATCAATGCACTGAGCACCATCATCAGTGCACTGAGCATCATCATCAATGCACTGAGCACCATCAGTTCACTGAGCACCATCATCAATGCACTGAGCACCATCATCAATGCACTGAGCACCATCATCAGTACACTGAGCACCATCATCAATGCACTGAGCACCATCATCAGTGCACTGAGCACCATCATCAATGCACTGAGCACCATCATGAGTGCACTGAGCACCATCATCAATGCACTGAGCACCATCAATTCACTGAGCACCATCATCAATGCACTGAGCACCATCATCAATGCACTGAGCACCATCATCAGTACACTGAGCACCATCATCAGTACACTGAGCACCATCATCAGTGCACTGAGCACCATCATCAATGCACTGAGCACCATCAATTCACTGAGCACCATCATCAGTACACTGAGCACCATCATCAGTACACTGAGCACCATCATCAGTACACTGAGCACCATCATCAATGCACTGAGCACCATCATCAATGCACTGAGCACCATCATCAGTACACTGAGCACCATCATCAGTACACTGAGCACCATCATCAGTACACTGAGCACCATCATCAGTACACTGAGCACCATCATCAGTACACTGAGCACCATCATCAGTACACTGAGCACCATCATCAATGCACTGAGCACCATCATCAATGCACTGAGCACCATCATCAGTACACTGAGCACCATCATCAGTACAACTGAGCACCATCATTCAGTACACTGAGCACCCATCATCATACGCATGAGTCACATCATCAGTACACTGAGCACCATCATCAGTACACTGAGCACCATCATCAGTACACTGAGCACCATCATCAGTACACTGAGCACCGTCATCAATGATAACCCGGACGTGTTCTCTGCTGGAAGAGTCATTGTCGTCATGTTGTCGTGTCTTCTATATGATACATGTATAACTCTTGGTGGGTGGGCACAGTGGCAGCTCCCGGTCCCTCTGGGTAAGAGATGGTATAAAACACCGACACTTGTGATACAAAATATGTGGTGCTAGGATACAGGAGGGCCCCGCTTATACAGCAGACCAGGTTCAGGGGTACTGCTGTAAAGTGAAACATAACATAAAAGCCTGATAACGTGTTTACACTATCATATATTAAGTGAACAATGGAGCTACACCTAAAAAAATACATAGTACAGTACACACATCACTTACCTGAAAATATTTTCGTCCTTAGCTTATAGTGAGTGGTGAATATATTTATTGTAGGAAGTCTGAATAAATGAAGAATGGCTATAATTGAAAACTGCTGCATTAGCGAAACGCCGTAAAGCGGGGCCCTCCAGTATATGATTGCGAACACGTTTAGCTTCTTTACGACTGAAGAAGTCATTCATGGTGAAACGTGTTCCTAGTAAAATAACACTGCCCATGTTTTATTTCCTGGCTCATCTCTTAACCTTGACTTCACCAGGATTTCTCCTTCCTCCCTCTCTTACCTTCTGTCGTACCATCTTGTGTAACTGTGTATCAAGTTTTCCTACGCCATCTTGTTATTAACTTATGTTCTTGTCACCCTCAGACTAAGTTTCTTAACATCTTAATAACTAAATTACGTAACCATGAATTCTCACCCCTTTGTGCCTCTCATGGTAAACATTTTTCCCCTATCTCAGTCCTTTATTCGCGTGTCATGTTCGTCGTTATCATGTTTGCCTTTTTCTCCTCACTTCCAAAATTGTTCCATTACTTTTTCTTAGCGTCTTAACATGATTTTTCCACGGGTGAGCTGTAAGTACTTGAGGTGCACGATTAGCCGATCATATGTCGAGTCTAGACTGCGGAAGCGTTCTGTCTCTGCTTCTCAAACTTGGAGACAAATTTCTCCACATTTTTCGCTTGAGCTCCAATAACCACTTGTTTGGTCATACTTAAGGAGCAGCTTAGTCAAGTGTTTGTGCAACCTAACCAAGTGTTTGTGCAGTTTAACCAAGTGTTTGTGCAGCCTAACCAATTGTTTCTGGAGCCTGGCCAAGTGTTTGTGCAGCCTAACCAAGTGTTTGTGCAGCCTAGCCAATTGTTTGTGCAGCCTAACCAAATGTTTGTGCAGCCTGGCCAGTTGTGCAGCCTAACCAAGTGTTTGTGCGGCCTCTTCAAGTGTTTGTGCAGCCTAACCAAGCGTTTGTGCAGCCTGGCCAAGTGTTTGTGCAGCCTGGCCAAGTGTTTGTGCAGCCTCTTCATGTGTTTGTGCAGCCTAGCCAAGTGTTTGTGCAACCAAACCAAGTGTTTGTGCAGCCTCTTCAAGTATTCTTGTACCTTGTCTTTATTCTGTTATCTGTTGTTGTGTTTAGTTTGACGTCATAACAACCAAGGATGTAAATGTATCTGATATCCTCTGGGGATGTCACCTCACATTGTTGCTGCAGTATATTGTGGTGGATGTAAGATGCCACTGGTAGGGAACGTTCATTTACAGTGTATGGTGGTGCAGGTAGAAAATGTATTTATACATGTTATATACATGTCAGGAACGTGTGGTGGAACGAGTTAGGAACAAGTTTATGGTTCAGAAAGGGAGTGTATAAGGTGGAGGATGGGAACGTTTGACGTGAAAGAAAGAATTGGTTATAAATATGACCATAATTTTTCAAGGGGGGGGGCGGTAAGCCAGCGGAAGGCCTTGGTCAGATAACCAAAAGATTCAACGGCGGGTCATCATCTGACTAAGACCCTCGTCAGGAGACACTTGTCCTGTTTCCTGACGAACCTTACCTAACGTTAGATGTGTACAAGTGACTCAGTGGGGCCGCGACTATATAAGAGAGCGAGTGGGAGGCAGTGCTCACTTACCTCGCTGCTGTGCGGAGGGGAGGGTCTCTGAGGACGGTGCTTACTGATCCACCCTGAATGTTCTCGCCTGCCTACTCCTGACTACCTGCTAGTTCCCTGGTTCTGCCTGCTGACCCATCCAACAGGCTCAGCAGCCCTCTAGGAGACCGTATTCCTCTCTGATACTGACAACCTGATGTATATATTACTTGTGCTGCAGCTGAGGTGTGTTGGCACAGCTAGAGAGTTGAGTGTTGCTCCAGCAATCAGGGTCTTAGATCGCAGTAAAACCTTCCACCGGACTTGAATAGGTGTTGTGTCCTTTGAGTTTTAATTTTCGTGGTGACTTCTTGGAGGTGGATTGATCTACGCGTGTTAGAGTGCGTGTATCACAAGGTGTGTTCTGTAGGCAGCTGGTAGATACAACCAACCAATATGTGGATGAATGAGGTGAGTTGTGCAGTGGGCGGAGAGCAGGCCGCCCACACCCTGCTAGCCACCAACCCTCTGCTGTACTCTGGCGACTTGCAAGACCCGCAGGCGTCACTGCTGCAGGCACCAGACCACGCCCTCACCGTGCCTATCCTCTTCCTGCAGGGACTCGTTCTGCTCCTCTACTGGTACAACGGTTCCTCCTCCGTCGACTCCTTTCTCATCCGCCTCCTCCTCAACCACCACTGACTGATGCTGCTCATTTTCAACTCCACACCCTCATGGTGTTTGCCTTTCAGGAAGTGTGTAGCGCAGAACGGTGCGAGGATACGTCACACGCTGCGGTACACGTGTTTCAGGAATTGTGTAGCACCAGATACAGCGGTACAAGTGTTTCAGGAAGTGTGTAGCGCCTGGGCGGAGTGTTGTTACGCGTCATGTTTGGTGATAGCTTGTTAGTAGGTAGACAACAAATGTGAGTGATATGGAGTGGGTGTGAGGTGTTGCAGGTGTTGTGTGTCTGCACTGGTGGAATGATGGTGAGGCGCCCTCCCACTCCCTCCCGCCACCCACACACGCTCTCACTATGATGGTGGGCGGCCGCAGGACTATGGTATACGGGAGGGCAAGGAGACGAGCCTGGCACTAGACATGGCTTATGGGGCATCAGCAGAGAAGAGCGCCCACCTGCCCCTCTACTCACGAGAGCTCACAGTGCACGCCAACTTTACCTTTGCTACGCCATCCATGGCACCCGTACAATACGCCCACGTCACACCCACCTCCACCCATGCTGGACGGCCAGTGATGGCAAGCGGAGCACCCACGGAACACTGGCGCTGGAATGGAGCCGGAGGGGCACAGTGCTCCATCACATGTGGGCATGAAGGTCTTACCATGACGTACAATACCCATCCCGCCCATCTACACACCCAGCATGCCGTACCCTGCCCTGTCTGCAGCCCTCTAGCGGTGCCCCCAAACACCGCCAGCATCCCAGCCTACACCACCAGCACCACCAGCCCAGCCTACACCAGCACCACCAGCCCGGCCTACACCAGGAGCTTGATGGACTTGAGACCACAGGAGCAGCCGGCGGCGCGCAGTCTCACCTTCTCCGGTAGTCTGGACCGTGCCACGCAGCGCCCCGCGCACCAGCGTCCCTACGGTCGCCGCTGCAAGAGCACGGCGCATATTGTGTTACAGAACAACGAGGGACAGGAGCGGCCGCACGAGTTCCACAGCACTGTGAGGGAGGAGTGCGAGGCGCGGGGCAGGGCGCAGCACCGCCACCGTCCTCAGCAGCCAGAGGGAGGTGTTGCCGTGACTACTGAACCTACGCTACTGGCGCCCTGTTGCCCCTGTCACCACTGCTCTGCGCTCTACTCCTTGGTCTCCAGTCTGGCGCATGAGCGCACCTGCCACGCCTGTGCCCACCACCCATGTCCAACACAACGCTCTCAGGAACCCTGCGTTTACCCGCAGCGCCCCCCAGAAGACGAGATGCGCACCCAGCCACCTCCCAAGTCACCCACGGTGCGCACGTTCAACTCTCACAGGTGCTACGAGGATGATGCGCTGCGACGGCAGGAACGAGGCCAGGCGCCTTGCCGCAGGTCTCGCACTCCCTCGCCCAGGATGCTGGTCCGTGGGCGTGCCTCACCGCCCGCATCAGCAGACAGGCGGGGCGATGGGGCAGAGGACAGACATCCACACACCCATGCGCCACGCTCTGTGCCCCGCATGGGCGCAGCCGCGGCCGCGGCCGCAGCCCACACTGCTGTACAGGTACATCAATGGCAGAGTACAAGACACAGGAGTGATGTTCACCTGCTGAAGTGTCCCGTTACACCCACCTTGTTCCTGTGTCACACCCTCACTGTATACACCAGTCATCTCACTACACCCACAATGTATACACCAGTCATATCTTCACCCATCAAGTCATGTCACTACACCCACAATGTATACACCAGTCATATCTTCACCCATCAAGTCATGTCACTACACCCACAATGTATACACCAGTCATATCTTCACCCATCAAGTCATGTCACTACACCCACAATGTATACACCAGTCATATCTTCACCCACCAAGTCATCTCACTACATCCCTCATGTCATCCACATAATATACATTCATGTTAACTTCCCCTCATTCTTCATATTGTGTTCTAGTGTGATTATTGACATCAATTGTAAATCCATTACCCAACATTCCACACAGTTATGCCTTGTTTTATGTGTGTGCGCGTGTGTATGTAATTAATATATATATATATATATATATATATATATATATATATATATATATATATATATATATATATATATATATATATAATATATTAATATATATAATACGCTATTGGAAGCTTTTGTAAATATTGAAACTCATCAACATTGTGAAATATGTAAATAAACTTTACGATGATATTGGCGTGTACTCCTGCCTATCCCACTTAACCCTTTCCTTTATTCTTGACAGGTGGGGACCTTCCCCAAGTGGTCTCCCTTATGAAAACACTGCCTTGACCACTCTTGGTAAGGCACTTGCGCAACACTTAGGTATTTTTATTGTCAAAATATTTCTCTTGTGTAACAGGTGTCTTCAGTCGAACACAGAGGTGTCTACTATTCTGGGTGAGATAAAATGGAGACGTGATGGTCAGTCCCTCAGCCTTGATAGAAGTTCCAACTACTGACGTCAAGACTGAGGGATTGAACTCCGTCTATTAGGGACTGAACACGTGAAAATCTTCACTTCCTCAGCTGTCTCTGTTATAGTAGTCCCCTGAGTATTTGACTGAAGAAACCTGCTACACAGGTGAAATGTGTCTCAATAAAAATACCCAGGTGTTGCACATGGGTCTTATTCATCATCTTGTCCACATAGATTGACTGTAGATAATGACTCGTGGACATCTTATAAGTTAATGATTCTGCATCTGGCCACAAGTCACAGTTGGTCACAACTAAGGATCACGTACGTTTTAATGGCGTCGGAGTTCTGTTTAGCCACTGTTGAGCGTCGAGGCTCTTAACCACATGCACTCAGATGATCTTTTTTGACATTAATATAGCTGTAGTTGGTTATATTTTACTACTGTATCTTTCCTGCTAAAGTGACAACATTAGTTCAACTTTAACAAGAAATATTACGCTGGAGGAACCCTCATGTGAGGTTCCTTGATGACTGTGAGGGACTCTACGCTGGAGGAACCCTCGTGTGAGGTTCCTTGATGACTGTGAGGGACTCTTTACGCTGGAGGAACCCTCGTGTGAGGTTCCTTGATGACTGTGAGGGACTCTACGCTGGAGGAACCCTCATGTGAGGTTCCTTGATGACTGTGAGGGACTCTTTATGCTGGAGGAACCCTCATGTGAGGTTCCTTGATGACTGTGAGGGACTCTACGCTGGAGGAACCCTCGTGGAGGTTCCTTGATGACTGTGAGGGACTCTTACGCTGGAGGAACCCTCGTGTGAGGTTCCTTGATGACTGTGAGGGACTCTTACGCTGGAGGAACCCTCGATGTGAGGTTCCTTGATGACTGTGAGGGACTCTTTACGCTGGAGGAACCCTCGTGTGAGGTTCCTTGATGACTGTGAGGGACTTTACGCTGGAGGAACCCTCATGTGAGGTTCCTTGATGACTGTGAGGGACTCTTTACGCTGGAGGAACCCTCGTGTGAGGTTCCTTGATGACTGTGAGGGACTCTACGCTGGAGGAACCCTCGTGTGAGGTTCCTTGATGACTGTGAGGGACTCTACGCTGGAGGAACCCTCGTGTGAGGTTCCTTGATGACTGTGAGGGACTCTACGCTGGAGGAACCCTCGTGTGAGGTTCCTTGATGACTGTGAGGGACTCTTTACGCTGGAGGAACCCTCGTGTGAGGTTCCTTGATGACTGTGAGGGACTCTTTACGCTGGAGGAACCCTCGTGTGAGGTTCCTTGATGACTGTGAGGGACTCTACGCTGGAGGAACCCTCGTGTGAGGTTCCTTGATGACTGTGAGGACTCTTTACGCTGGAGGAACCCTCGTGTGAGGTTCCTTGATGACTGGTGAGGGACTCTTTACGCTGGAGGAACCCTCGTGTGAGGTTCCTTGATGACTGTGAGGGACTCTTTACGCTGGAGGAACCCTCGTGTGAGGTTCCTTGATGACTGTGTGAGGGACTCTTTACGCTGGAGGAACCCTCATGTGAGGTTCCTTGATGACTGTGAGGGACTCTTTACGCTGGAGGAACCCTCGTGTGAGGTTCCTTGATGACTGTGAGGGACTCTTTACGCTGGAGGAACCCTCATGTGAGGTTCCTTGATGACTGTGAGGGACTCTTTACGCTGGAGGAACCCTCGTGTGAGGTTCCTTGATGACTGTGAGGGACTCTTTACGCTGGAGGAACCCTCGTGTGAGGTTCCTTGATGACTGTGGAGGACTCTTTACGCTGGAGGAACCCTCGTGTGAGGTTCCTTGATGACTGTGAGGGACTCTTTACGCTGGAGGAACCCTCGTGTGAGGTTCCTTGATGACTGTGAGGGACTCTTTACGCTGGAGGAACCCTCGTGTGAGGTTCCTTGATGACTGTGTGAGGGACTCTTTACGCTGGAGGAACCCTCGTGTGAGGTTCCTTGATGACTGTGAGGGACTCTTTACGCTGGAGGAACCCTCATGTGAGGTTCCTTGATGACTGTGAGGGACTCTACGCTAGAGGAACCCTCATGTGAGGTTCCTTGAGGACTGTGAGGGACTCTACGCTGGAGGAACCCTCATGTGAGGTTCCTTGATGACTGTGAGGGACTCTACGCTAGGGGAACCCTCATGTGAGGTTCCTTGAGGACTGTGAGGGACTCTACGCTAGAGGAACCCTCATGTGAGGTTCCTTGATGACTGTGAGGGACTCTACGCTGGAGGAACCCTCATGTGAGGTTCCTTGAGGACTGTGAGGGACTCTACGCTAGAGGAACCCTCATGTGAGGTTCCTTGATGACTGTGAGGGACTCTACGCTAGGGGAACCCTCATGTGAGGTTCCTTGAGGACTGTGAGGGACTCTACGCTAGAGGAACCCTCATGTGAGGTTCCTTGATGACTGTGAGGGACTCTACGCTAGAGGAACCCTCATGTGAGGTTCCTTGAGACTGTGAGGGACTCTACGCTGGAGGAACCCTCATGTGAGGTTCCTTGATGACTGTGAGGGACTCTACGCTAGGGGAACCCTCATGTGAGGTTCCTTGAGGGCTGTGAGGGACTCTACGCTGGAGGGAAACCCCCATGTGAGGTTCCTTGATGACTGTGGGGGACTCTACGCTGGAGGAACCCTCATGTGAGGTTCCTGACTGTGAGGGACTCTACGCTGGAGGAACCCTCATGTGAGGTTCCTTAGTGACTGTGAGGGACTCTACGCTGGAGGAACCCTCATGTGAGGTTCCTTAGTGACTGTGAGGGACTCTACGCTGGAGGGACCCTCATGTGAGGTTCCTTAGTGACTGTGAGGGACTCTACGCTGGAGGAACCCTCATGTGAGGTTCCTTAGTGACTGTGAGGGACTCTACGCTGGAGGAACCCTCATGTGAGGTTCCTTAGTGACTGTGAGGGACTCTACGCTGGAGAACCCTCATGTGAGGTTCCTTAGTGACTGTGGGGGACTCTAGTAGGAAGAACCCTCTTAGGTTCCTTGGATCGACTGAACTAACTGCTCAAACCTCATGTGAGTTCCTTATGACTCTGACGGACTAAGTCGCCATGGTGACGTTAGGATGTAGCACTAAGAATAACGTCATTAGTTCCTTACTGGACTCAGCGTAGGCCAATATAGTTTTCCGAGGGATAAGTGGACGCTCCAGTGGTTTAGTGACTGTGTAGGACTAAGTAGTCGTTGTATTTGCCTTAGTGTGTGAGTGTAGTGGAGGTCATGTGGGTTCTTGTGTGTGGGTGTCTAGTGGGGTTGTGGGTTCTCGTGTGAGGGTGTGGAAAGGTCTGTGTAGGTTCCTTAGAGCTTTGAATAAGGCGTGTTGGGTCAGTAGTTCCTCTTAATAATGAGTGAAACCCTGTGATTCCTGACTTAAGCCGATCGTAGTGACTCCTTCAACTGTGAGGACTATGCTGGAGAAATCCCTCTATTGAGGTTCCTATACCCGTGATGTACTAAGTTGAAAACGCTCATGATGTTCCATTATGTCGAGGGCTAAGCTGAAAACTTTTGAGTTTTGCGATGAGACTAAGCGGAGAAACGTCAGTGAATTAACGTGAGGACAAAGGAAACCTATGCTAGGCCATTACGACTGTGAGGGACAACTGAGAGTATGATCTTATACTGTGAGGGACAGATAAAACGCTCATATTCCTTAGTGATCTGTAGGCTAACTGGAAGCTCATGTAGTTCTTAGTGACTGTAGGGACTAAGCCAGTTAACTCATGTATTCCTTATGCTTGGGACTAGTGGAGCGCTCTATTCTTGTGACGGGGGACTTACTGGGATACCTCATGTGAGGTAGCTAGGATGGTAGGATAACTGAAAACGCTCATGAGAGGTTCCAGATGACGTGAACAGTGGGGTAACCCTAGTGTGGGTGTTTAGGTGAGTGAGAGTGTATCAGATAACGTCATGTGATTCCTAGTGTGTGAGTGTAAGGGGGTAGTGGAGTGTTCCTTAACGTGAACAGTGGGAAACGCTATGTGTGGTCCAGGTGGAGTGACAAAATAGGTAATCAATGAGGTCCTTACACTGTGAGGGACTAGCTGGAAAACGCTCTGTGAGGTTCCTTAGACGGAGGGACTAAGCTGGA